AGAGAGAGAGAGAGAGAGAGAAGGGAGGTGAAAAGTGGAGCACCGAAAAGCTATTTCCGGTCGAGGAGGTCCGCATCGGGCCCACGAAGGGGTACGAAATGACCGACTTAAGCAAGTTTTACTGCGAGACAAACCGGAAGTGATTCGGCTACGACCGAAACACTTCTTCCCTCTTTTGAACAGGGGTAAGAAAGTTTACCTCTCCCCTTCCCTCCTCCCACTCAAGCCTCTCCGTTCCTTTTTGGCCGGGATTACGGGCCTTGGACGAACATCCATTCTCGTTTAACGCCTTTATTTACCGTCCACTGCTTTTCCTTTCAACCCCTTCCATCCCCTCTCACCCTCTCTTCCTGACCCCCTTCTTGACTCCGCCAATTCCTTCGCTCCTCCTCCTCTTCTCCTCCTTCTCCTTCTGCTCTTCCCCATTCTCTCTGCTTCCTTCGTTCTCCTTCGTTGACACTCGATTATCGCGGTGGTTTGAAGAGCAATCGCTCCATTCCCCCACTTCCTCTGCAGTCTTTTTGCTCCTCTTTCGAAGGCCGCTTCCTCTTCCGCCCAGTCGTTTAATTATTCGGATGATTCCTCTCGAGCATTCCTCGTTTCGAGTATTCTCTCACGATTGGCGATGGTTTTAATAACGTTGGTAGAATCCTAACCTTGTCGGTGGAAGAAGCAAGATTGCTCGTCTTAGAGAAGATCGCTCGAAAATAACAAACAAAATTGTTTTTTAGAGCTTCTTTCTCGCGAAATTGAACACACTTTTTTTTTTCATTCCGTTATATTTAATAAACCCTTCCTCCCAGCCACGCAAATTACGTAACAATTAATTAAAACTCGAAGCGTAAGATCGATCAGACTAGTAATTTCCCCTTCCCCTTTATTTATAATAACCCTATGTACATATATATATATTATAAAATAAATCACATAGATCCTCTTAGATTACGATATCGGGAAATAATGGTAACAAAGAACATAAACCAATTAAACCGTTCGTAATACCTCTCCCCTTCCTTCCCTTCCTTGCCACCATCCCTCTCTGTCATCGAGGGAATTATTCATTTATTATAATTAATACAACGCGTTACGAATTCCGGTAAAAATCAGACACGGGAGAGAGCAACTGAAACAACACCTTCCCGTCGCCCGAAAACACTGCCCCCTCCCCCTCATTCCATTATCGCGGGTGGCGGATCGATTCGAGGCCGATCAGGAAAGCTGGGCAGGATCACGAATCGAAACACGGCCCTCGTTATTATTCCAACCCCGCGTCGTTCCCAGCCACGGCGCATCGATGCACATCGGCGATATGCGTAAAACGCGTTGCGTCCTCGCGACGCAATTCCGGCCGCGGAAACTTTCGCAAACGCGTCGACTGTCGGCGGAGTGGGGAAACGTTTCGCGGTGGTGAAACCCGGGATCCGCGCTCCCAGCAACTTCATACGTTATTCGCAGCTTCGTATAACGGGTGAACAGGAATAATCCACTCGGGATGTGTGAGCCGAATCCGATCCTTTTGTGCGAAAGGAGGAGAATAAGGGAAAAGAGGGGGAAAAGATGGCAAGAAATTAGGCCGATTGGGATTATTGTTGTTGCGTCGGGATCGTGGGTAAGAAAGGTGAATTCTTCGAGCCCTAATGCTGTTTCGAAAACTTCGGTACGAAATTAGGGTAATTGGAGATATCGATTCTATCTCCGCCAGTTCCAACTAGATTATCCGGTTTTAGGAGATGCTGATATCCGCGTTTCAGAATTACGTACGGAATAAGTGATTTGAGAGATAATTCTGCGATCGTGTGTTTGAAATAGATAATTTAAAAAAAAAATGTAATTCTAAAGATTCCTTTTTTATCTCTAATTGCGCTACTATCGCTTAATTTTTTCCCTTTCCCGTCGCGGAGCCATTTTGCTCGGCATTTTTTCCAACGTCCTCCCGAAAAATCTATAAATCCAACGAAGGTGGGAGGCCGCGTACGTCAGGACCATTCGTCAGCGGACGGATTGCGGCACCAGGAGGAGGAGGGGTGAAGAGGACAGATAAGATAGTCAGATAACATAAACGGATAACTTTTTTCTGGTGTCAGTCGGTTCCGTGTCACGCGCAATAAAGCCGCGAGCGATTTTTACGATGTAGGGGGTGTATGGTGGTGGATCGCACGAGGTAATTCACCCTCGGAAGGCAGTTCACGCCCCGCTGAATAATACGCGTATTCGTGTGAAAAAAGAAAATTTCTTTCTTTCTTTCTTTTTTTTTTTTTTTTTTTTTTTGCCGAGAGTTAAACTTCGATCTCTCTCTGTCTCGAGGGGAGGGGGACGATTTTAAAATTGCAACGCTACGTTGAAAATCTCCTCCCCTTCCCTCCCTTTCTACCTTTGCCCGCCTCTTTGATTACTTTCCGCTTCCCTTAAATAAAAGGGAACTCAATTGCTTCTCTTGTCTCTTAAACAAAGAGACAACGCCATTATATCGTATTTCACGTTTCTCGAACGTGATAGAGAATCGTTCTTCCAATGTGTTAAATGGCGTTTGCAAGTCGGGTGAGCATCGGGCAATAACGAAACCGGGAAGAAAGAAAAAGGGGGAAATTTCCTGGCGGAACTTGTCGTCGTCTTGAGACGAACGCAACGCACAATGAGAAACCAATCTTCCCTCGCCCGATAATTGTTAACATTTAACGTGTATAATAACGCGCGAATTCTAAGAGATGCGCACTCTGAAAATGCAAATTACATCGTAACAGTAAAGCTCACTTGCAGCGAGGAGGGAGGAGGGAGGAGTTGGCTTTGTATCTCTATAAAGGATATTTCTTCGAATTGTTTGCAGATTGGTATCGTCCCCCGCGAGGCAGAACGAGGCAGGTGGTAGCAGCAGCGGCGGAGCGACGCAACACGCGGCGACTTTCGCCGTGCGGGTGGGCACGATGGACGGCGTGGTGACGCATCATCTACGCGCCGAGACGAGGAGGGACCTGGCCGCCTGGGCCAGGGCGATCGTTCAAGGCTGCCACGCGGCCGCTCATTCGTTACGCGAGTACACCGTTCGTGAGTATATTTTCCAATATTTTTCAAAATTCTTCTTCGAATTCCTTGCGTCGAAAAGTTTTCGAAATCGAAACCATTTACCGATCACATTTTGTCTTCGAACTTTAAAAGAAGCTTCCCTCTATAAAAGAATTATTCTATCTGTAAAATTCTAAATGCTAATTTTCCCGTTGATTTATGAAAGGAACCGAGACGATATATTATCAAGCGATAATACTGTAGATTCAGGATACGGTAGATTAAAAAAAAAAAAAGAAGCAAGAATAATCTCGTTCGAAACAAGGGGATGAGAGAAATGTGAGAGGGAGAGGGCATGCATCTTTGCGTGCGAGAAAGAAAAAAAAAGAAAAGAGGGAACCGGAACGGGATGTAACCTCGTCCGATGGTTAGCAACGCGTTCGCTTCGATGAATTTTAATTTCTTTCCACGGTGAATAGTGCAATAATAAATCGAGATTAATGCCCTGATATCCAGCCCTTCTTTTTCCCCGTGCGCATCGAACTCCATCGATCATGATTCGCGGCGGAATTCTTCTCCTGACCCCGAACCGGAAAGACGCGGAGGACGATGGAAAACTGCCGCGAGAAATATCGTTGAATACGGGTTTCGATTTCCTTTTTTTCTTTTTTTTTTTTTTTTTTTTTTTTGATTCGTCCCTAAATTTCACCCGAGATTTTCTTTTTCTTTTTTTTTTTTTTTTTTTCTTTTTGATTCGTGCCTAGATTTCATCCGAGAATTTCTCTTTCCTTTCTCTTTCTCTCCCTCTTTCTCTCTCTTTCTATCTTTCTCCCCTTTTTTTAAATCTCTTTTCTTTCGTGATTCAACGATGTTATTCAGCCGAGCTCCGTTTCATCGTGAAAATTATTTTTCAATTCGGTGCCGATTGGCTGCCGTTTAATTTAACTCGATTTCATTGCCGAACTTCATTTATTTGCTCGAAATATGCACACCTTCCTATTTTACCTTGACGATTTTAATTTTATCGAAAAAAAAAAAGTTAATTTCTCACTCGTCTCAATTGTTTAATTTAATTTAATTCGATTTAATTAAAAAATTCTTGTCTTTCGACTCATCGTCCATCCGCGCGATCCGTGCACGATTCATTAAAATTCGTTATTTGTTCGTGATCGTCGAGTCGATTAATATATTCACGCGTGATAAAATTCTAATTAGGATTTTCACACTCTTTCGTTGTTGTTTGTCGCAGGGTGCACGTGGCAAGGGAAGGCCTGTCAGCTGGTTGTAAACCACGAAGATGGTTTCGCGTTGTACGCGGCTGGGGCTAGAGGCGGTGGCAACGGGATGAGTCCAAGCTCTTCCCCGACCCCTCTTTGGAGAAGATCCTTCGATAAACTGAAAATGTCCGCTGACGATGGGGCGCGTCTACTGTGGCTCGACTTTGGCGGCGAGGATGGCGAGATTGTGAGTTATATCCACGAATATTTCTTTTATATATTCGAATAAATACATACGTGCATGCATACATAAATGAATCCTTCGTTCGAAACGAAGACTCTTTCTTCTTACGATCGTAGGAGAAACGCGCGATGAGTTGAGAATTTGATTGATCAAGAAAGATCTCGTTTCTTACAGGCCTACCTTGATTATTAAAACACGTCAATTTTTCGAAAGCAATACAATAATAAAACGTAGAATCTAATTTCAACCCTTCTAAGTCTCGTTTTGTGTCCAACAAATTCTTTAATTATCTTACAAATTATCTTAAAAAATTTGTAAAACTTTTAATATAATTGAGAAAAAAGGAAGGAAGGAGGGAAGAAATCAGTTCTTTTTAGAATCACAAAATTTTAATCGAGAAAATGTAAAAACGCAACTCATCGCGTTCTTGATACAAATCCACGGCCACCCTTCAAAAGAGGTTCTCCCTTAAAGCTCTCCTTCCTAACGGGATCCACATTTTCTCGCCATTTTCTCACCGTATGACGAATGGAAGAAAATTAGCAAAAAAATATCGAGCTGGGGCTGACGTGTTCGATAATAACGCGACGCGAGAGAGGACTTATTGTGAGAGAAGCCTTCCTCTTTCTTCCCGGCGGCGGGGAGGGTATTGAGAATTTTAATTGACCCCGCCTAGACTATCGAGATTATTATCTCGGACGAGAGGAGAGAGATATCGCGAAGAGAGAGAGAGAAAGAGAGGAAAAAAGAGGGCTGTGCATCGAGTAATCCCATTGTGCTCGTCACTTTGAAAGAGCCCTCGATGCCGGAGCACGATACCGTCGAATACGTATTTTACATCTTCTCCAAACACCTTCGTCCGGTTCGTTCCCGCCGTTCAATGGCCATTCATAACGCTACCGCCTATCTTTCTTCAAAGCGCGGGGGAGGAAGAGCAGGGGTTGGAAGTCAGAAGAGAAAGAGAGAGAGAAAGAAAGAATTTCCCGCGACAGACGTCACGATGGAAAAATTATTCCACCCTCGAGAGAGAAACGAAGCTGGTGGTGAATATTCTTCCTTGGAATTTTTTTATTAAGCGATCGACCGCGTGCAAGAAACAATGATCCCGCCGATTGGTTCCGCTCTCTTAATTTGAATTGGTATAAGTAACGAGAAATCGATTTTTCACTGTGCCACAGGTAAATTGCCAGATTTCCAAAATTTATTTATCGCGCGATTCAACTCGATTCTATCGTTAAAACGTTTATTAAAATTGGAACTGCGAAGATAACGATTTTCAGATAACGATCAGATCGATCAGAAATAAAGAATCTCTTCTCGAGATTGGATCGTAGTCTAAATAAAGGAGTAATTTTTTTAATCATTTGCTATCTTTCTCTCACTATGTCGAACTTCATGACTTCTGGGATAACCTACTTATAATTCCTATTTATAATTCCTACACTACTTTAATACATTTATTAAAATTGGAACTGCGAAGATAACGATTTTCGATCAGAAACGAGGAAATCTCTTCTCGAGATTGGAATGTAGTCTAAATAAAGGAGTAATTTTTTAATCATTTGCTATTTTTCTCTCACTACATCGAACTTCATGATTGGAATAACCTACTTCCAGAAAAAAAATAACTTCAAAGAATCGCGATCTATTTATAATCCCTACACTACCTTAAGCATTTTCGATTCCTCATATCTCAATCGATCGAATGGTTTTTTCTCTTTATTTCGAATCTGAGCGAATTCGACTCATTTTTACGAATCATTTTTACCAAATCATTATCGAATCACGACCACCAATCTATCTAACCATATTTCTCCCCAATCAAAATTCCAGGAGCTGGACCTCGAGAGCTGTCCCAAACCGATCGTGTTCGTCCTCCACAACTTCCTCTCGGCCAAGATCCACCGGCTCGGGCTGAGCGCATAGGGGTACGAGGGGGCCCCCACGGAGGCCCCCGACCTGCCGCCCCACACCACCAGGTCCGTCACCAGCGTCTTCCTTCACTGAAGCTCTGCGCGCCAGACACAACGAGGAGGAAGAGAGAAGGGTGGCAGGCAGGATACGAGAGAAGAACGAAGAACGAGAAACCCACGCATCACTCGACGGACCATAACAGAGAGACACGTTGGCCAGCTTCCACCTTTTTATTTCCATCCGGAGATCGATTCCCTAATTCCTGTTAGGGGATTAAAAAACTGCAGATTAGCAACAAGCGCGCTCTTCCACATTCGATTCTACGAGCGAGATGCGTTTAATAAGGACGAATCTCTCCTCGATGGAAAAGACGGGAAGAGAAGAGTGTATCAAACAAACGGATGGCGATCGAAGAGAGAGAGAGAGAGAGAGAAAACGATCGAAGTTATTCTAACGCGCAATTTTGCAGGAAAGTATCAGCACGTGCAACAAGTAGGCTAGAAGGAAGCGGAAGGAAGGTCACTGCTGGGTATCGTAACTAATCAACGCGCCTAAGTAACCGATTAAACTTATCTACCTAAAGTAAGAGGAAGAAAAAAAAACGCTATGTAACGAACGAGAGAGAAAGAGAGAGAGAAAGAGAGAGAGTGAATGGTGGGTGTATTTAAGAGAAAGTGAAAAAACTGCTCCGATCGAACGCTCGATTTCGGAGAACTAGCGGAAAAGCTGATCAATTACTGTCCAACTGCCAACCCGTTTCGCTCTTACATCGAGGATCGATTGACCCTGCAACTTCGACCTCTCTCCCCTTGTCCCTTGCCGCTGCGCGCCAACTTTCCTCCTCTCGGGTATAAATAAAAGGGAGAAGAAAATAGAAGGCGAGGAGGAAGGTTGGGAGAAAGAATATACGGTAAAGTTGTCGCATCGAGGCTCTGCAGCAAACCTTTCCCCTATAACGTCCAACGAAAGCGACTTTAACAGAGTTGAACGTTGATCTTAATGATTAGTGAATTAATAATAACGAAATTTCACGCGAAACCATTTTCGTTCCATATTTATGGAATATATATTTATGGTATATATGGATTTTCTTACTCGAGTGAATTATTTATTTCACTCGTCAACGAGTGAACGAGTTTCTCTTCAACGATCCATTCCGAGAGAAATTCGAGAATCTCGCGATTTTCAAAAATAAATTTCGAGCTACGAAAGAATGGAATGATAATAGTGGAAATTTCGTCGGGGCGGAGAGGTTCGATGTGGAATAACAGGGTCGAAGGGAGCAACGGGCTAGCGTTAATAGTTGTTTTGTACGATTCGTATTCTTAAACGCGAGTAAGTGTAAGATGCCAAGAAACGTCGATGTGTGTACCGGTTGGCCGCGATCCCAATCGAGTGGGATAACTCGAGATCGATTCTCGCTTCCACCCCTCCCCTTCCAAAAATTATTTCCATCTTCTTTCGTAAAACTTTCGATCCCTCCAAAGTTTCACATCCGAGCAAAACTCTCGAATTGTAAATATAAGCCATCGTTGCAACTCACCCAACCCGCCCAATTCCGATAATATCGTTCCACGTGCCGTGGGTGTCGCAAAACCGAGTAACAAGCCGGAAAACACCGTGGAGGAACGAAGGTGAGGTCGATTCGAGGATCGAATTCCCATCCTGTATCGAGTTATCGCACGGAAGGGGATGCAAATCGCCGCGGAATTATTCGCATTACGAGTGCTGTTGCGAATATTATCGATGACGAGAGAGAGAGAAAGAGAGAGAGAGAGAGATAAGTGTTGTTCGTGTAAGAATGGAACATTCCTTTTCATCCGTTCTATAGAGATCGATATTCGATCACGATCCTCGAGAAAAGAGGAGAGAAAAGGAGAGGAGAGGAGAGGAGAAAGATTGGTCGAAGGAGGCCGTGCGATAATAAGAATTTTGACATTAAGTAGAACGTATCAACGAATCCACGTAATGTTCATTGTACCCGTTTTACGTCGTTTGCTGAGTCGTTCCTTTCGCGGAATGATGAAATTAAATTGAAACGAAAGGAGAGGAGAAGATCGATTTCGCAATTTGTGTATCAACGTTAGATTGGGATAGAAAATTCGTAACGTTGAATAGTTAGAACGTCTTCGATTTTAAAAGATCGAAGGATTGTTTAACGTTGAATAGTAATTCTGATCGAATCGATTTTGAATTGTAGATTCGCGGTAGATGCGATATCCGATGCGATTAATCTCGACGTGACCGCTCATTAAGTTCTGTTTTAACGTGGATCGTTGTATAAGATAGAAACGAGCATGTGTATTATCCTTTCAACGACGCATCATTTCGAGATATATTTTAAAAATAATATTTTTCGCGCGATTTTAAATTAATATTTATTTAAAATTTTGCCACCGATTTTAATTATTTATTTATATATAAACGAATTTGCATGATTGGTAATCAAGATCATAGCCATCGAAAAATGTCTAAGCGACGAAGCCAGAATCCGGAAAATACGCTCGAATCAACGCCTATTACCGTTAAAAGCCGGTCAAAACTTGACGTAAAATCATCGATCACGGGAAATCGACTTAATAAATATCGCTTGTCAAAGGGTATTTCGAACGCATCCATCGTTTAACGCGTTAAAACGATGGGAAAAAAGCCGTGTATCCGAAAGTGGCTCGAATGAGCCGCATTATCCGCCAATTGCAGCGCGATCAAAAACAATCCGACCCAGTTTTTACCACAATTTCGCGCCCATTATCAAAATTGCCCGGACGCCATCCCAGAGAACTCAATTTCACGGAACGAATGTGTCGTTCGTGGATGATTGGAGGGTGGTGGTGGCGCGGGAGGGGTTGACTGGATGACACGAAAATGGAATGGAGAGATCACGGTGGTCGGTTCCGTCGCGACGAAATGAAATTATACACGGATCGAAATAATGAACGATGCTCGAATTTTCCACGTTTATTCCGGCTCGAAATTCGTGTGAAACGCGATACGGGAGGATTCACCTGTCCTGTCGTATCGAAAAACCGAGGACCCTATTTCCAAATGGAAATTACCGAAAGTAGAAAAACCTGTAAATGAGCGAACACGTCGAGCGAATTAATCGAACGATTTCATCGTCACAGCGAATCCCGCGAAAGGAACGCGAGAGCGTTACAATACACACGCGTGCGAAAACACACACGTACACATACGGAGATATAGAGGGGATAGGAAAGGGGAGGGGAAGGGGGATAGAAGGTACATTTGCCCGGGTAACGAGGTGGACGTCATTAAGCGCGAGGATAAGTTCGGAACATCGACGAGAATTAATTCAGTTTGAAAGGATTTGCACGTAAACTGTGTATTTTTCTAATGATTTTAGAACGCGGCCGATCACGGCTCGTTCATTCGTTTTTTAATCTTTTCTTTTTTTTTTTTCTCTCTATTTTCGATTTTCACCCCTCTGAAAGATCGAATCGGGGGTGAAACGGGACACACGGTCCTCCTGCGTTTTCATTTCTCTATAGGTTTAAGAGAACGTTAACGTGTATATCTATGAGTTACCAAATAAATGAGACCGGTTAGAAAACTGATCGTTTCTTTTTTCCTACCTCCCTTCGTTCTTGATTTTAATTTCAGAGAAATGATTTCGAGGTAAGTATATAATTTTTTTCTCGATGATAACGAAAAAAAATAACGAATAACGATAAAAAATAATGAACGTAATATAGAATTCGGAAAATGTTCGAAATATTGGAAAATATTGAAAATTAAAATATCGAAATAATTTTCTACTTCTTCTCTGTAAAGGATATCTAACTTTTTTTGCTTCTTTCGAATGAAGCGAGTGTACACTTTCAAAGCATTTCTTTCCCAAGTGTCCATCGATCTAGAAAGGTCGACGACGTATTCGAAAGGAATCGCGACTATGCGCGACAGGGAGAAGGGAGAGGAGAAGAAGAAGAAACTTTCAGGACTTTGTCATTTTTATCGTTGAATCCGATATCCAGCCCCGGTGATTGGCTCGCGAAACTTTTCTGATCTGTCTTCCGTCTGCCTGCAGCGATTCCTTATATTCTTTCACCTCCACCAATGTAGATTCCTTCGTAGAGGTTATGCACGTAAATTTCGCCAACATCTTGAAACACTCGTTATATCGAATATTTTTAACTAACATTATCGAACAATACGATAGAAATATCTTTTTCGAATCGTATACGAATAATCTCGCGTAAAATAACGAAATGAGAAACATTTTCGATGAAAGGTGATAAATTAAATCGTGAATAACGAATGGTAAGATAAATTGCAAATAGTAAATTAAATACGACATTTAGAAACGAAAAACATTTCATGCATAAAATAAAAATACAATTAACATTTATTTAGAGTACTTACAGAGTCGATAATGCCACGATGATGCTACGATGATGCCGCCATGATGCCGCCATGATACCAGCTCTCAAAATGGATGCACTTATCGCGAAATATATTATACGCATTATACTACGCATAAAGATACGTTAAAATATTTATTTCAATTACTAAATACCGCTTTTAACGGGAAAAAAACATGTATATACATAAAACGATCGCAAAATTCACGAACTCTAGTCAAGATGAACACGATTATTACGAAACACGTGCTATACTAAGCACGAAAAATCATCAAGAAGCTTCTAGTAATTACTAAAAATCGATTTTAACGAAAAAAAACACGTGTATACATGAAAAGATTGCAAAATTCACAAATTCAAAAAATCAAGATGGATACGATCACCGCGAAACAGTATACTGCGCAATAAAAATACGTTAAGAAGCTTCTATTACTAAAAATCAATTACTAAAAATCGATTTTAACGAAAAAAAACACGCGTATTTGTAAAACAAACGCAAAATTCACGAAAACTAGTATTCAAATGTATTGCACAACATTATATTACGCAAAAAAAAAACGTTAAAACGTTTATTTTAATTATTACGCATAATTTAACGAAGAAAGACGCGCACACAAGAAATGGCCGAAATCTACTGAAAGGCAAACGAAGGAATCGCGTGATTTCCCCCACCGCGTTGCCTTCGTTGTCGAACGTTCCGCCGAAAATGTAAACATACGGCGCGGCGTTCAATTTCAAAACATTTGTGATATTAATGATTTACGAATATTTTCATATAAAATTTTGCAAATTTATTCTCTAATATATTTTGTGCAAATTACTCTCGGACAATCACATTCAAGACAATGTTCATCAAAAATTTATTTTCGAGAATTTTTTTTTTACTTTTTCATTTTCAATATACGTATAAATTTTTTAATGTGTATTTAAAAAAATAAAAAAATAAAAATAAAAGAACAATCTAAAAAAACTAATACGATTGAAGTTATATTTAAAATTATATTGAAAATCAAGAAAATAATTTCGAAAGACAAGATTAGAAAAGATCTCGAGAGATTCTAATTATGGAAAATAATACAAATAAAATTTGATTGATTGAAATTGTTAATAGAATCGATACACGAGATTCAAAAGTATAATTGATACATTAGCAAATATTAACCTTCTCGAACAACACGAAGCTTTAATTAAAACTACAACCGTACCTATTTAAACATTCATGATTGGAATTCGATGTTTAATACCAATTATTCTATTTCCATTGAAAATTCTATTTTCAAATGCTGTTCTCATTTTGCATGAATATTATTATTTTCGCATTTTTTATAATAAACAATATACATCTGTGAAATATATTGATATTTCAAATTACAAAAAATAAAAGAATATTATACGTATATTAAAATCGAAATAATGCCAAAGGAACGGAATCACGATAAAATTCTAAATTCTCAATTTAATTCAATATAATTTTCATAACGAATCGTCGAAATTACATTGATCATTGGCAACTCTCTCTTAATTCTTGATCAACGAAACGAATTTCTCCAAAATATCGAGAATGACACGATAAGTCGTAGCCGAAGCCAGGCTTATTTACAACGTGTCGGACCGCGATAAAGTAAACCCTTTCGTTCCTACTTGTAGCGGCTACCCTCTACCTCTAGCCACGCCTAGAGCCGCTCTAAGATTATAAAAGTAGACTAACAGAGTATAATTCACCATTGTTATCCCGCATCATGGAGACCCGTAATGATACGTTTATTCCATAGAATTTTATCTCGTCTCCACCCCCGTCTCGGTTCCCGCAATTGTAGGGTACCACCCCTTTTTCGCAAGCATAGGGAGATAATAAATCGTATGACCGCGTAAAAAGGAGGACAAGTGGCTACAGGTGGGATAAAAGATATACAATTTCGGTTGATTAAATTTAACGCTAGAAATTCCGGTAATTAAAAATCCAAGATCCCGTGGTTATGTATAAATTTTACGATTCGATACAATCTCGATACAGTTCAGAATGGTTCTAATTAATTTATCGTCGCGTTTCTAGACAAATCTTCCTTCGCTAAGGATAATTGCAACACGAGAATGATGAAATTTCAGCCTTGTAAACGAACGATATTCGGGGATTATTAATTTCAATAGAGGTAAATAAAACGGCCTCTTTGTAAAAATCATAATTCAATATTTATGAGGATCGATATATTGTAATGATATATCGAATTTTATATCGTTGTTATACGAAAATTTTGTTGAATGAAATTTTTTTCTACAAAAATATTATTTTAATTAAAAGTAATAGGAGAATAATAGGTAGTAAAGTATTGGAATAAAAATAAAATTTCGAAATTCACGAAAATGATGGGAAAGGATATCACGGATAATGTGATCTCAGGTGTTCGAAGAAGAACACGTTCGGGTATATGAATAATAAAAACGATAATGGTTCGAACGAGAAACTTCTAATTCGGTGATAATAGATTTTCGATCAGGATCCCGTAATTTCTCGATTCGAGTGAATTTATCTCGATAATTCTAGCGATAAATATTTCATCCCGAATAAGTTGTCGATCGATTATTGATTAATACCAATTCATTTATGCAACTTCGATAGAATTATCGTTACGGAAATAATTGAACTCGTCTCGCTCGAGTTCGTCGAACTTAATCCATCGAGTTCTAAAAAATTCTTCTAAAACAATCGTCAAATCCATCGAAATTACATCGAAATAACATCTCCATCGGAGACTAGGGCCTTAACCTTCCTATCTCTATCTATCTCCACCCCTTCGTTCCATAAAATTAAATTAACCATAATAATTCGTCGATCCATCGTCGTTGCCATCACCGCCATTCTCGAATCACAATCGATCCTCGGGATTCGGCCGAAGACAAAAATACCACCGATAATAATCCTTCTCTCTCCATCCTCCCATCGTCGAAAACTTTTTCCGCTCGGAGATTCGCGATGTCGAGAAGGCTTCACGACTTT